CCCCCTTCTAGGTATACGTCTGCAAAGTCCTACTTGCATTTATACCACACACCCCTTTCTTGTTGTTTGCATGGTCCCCTCTTCCTCTCCTTGTTATCAGATTGTCAGACTCTCTCAAATGTATCAGGACCTGGGCCCGATCCTCAATGAAGCCTTTCCCAAACATCAGCTTCAGGCCTAGCTCTTTGCAATCATTATTAAACTTTTGTCATCCACATCTGTGGTCGGGGTCCTTGCTAGTGAACTGTCAGTTGGTATAAAGATGCTCATTATCTGAGTCAATGAACATAATTGTTGTCTCTTTTTGGTTCAAAATTACAGAAAATAGCTATAATAGCTATTAATAGTTGGGTTTTTATAAGGGAACTATTTGTAGGCAGTGTCCAGCATTAAACCTCCCACAACAATGACAAGCCATCTGTTTTTGAACAATACCCTTCAGCACTTTACAAGAATACATGTAAATCAATAGTAAAATTATTCATCTTTTGCAGTCAAATCAATAACAAGAACAGCAAGAAGTTTTTTTTTCTTTAGAGGACATTAAATGGATTTAGCCCTAATAGAATTCTCCATCTGCAGAGAGGATCCATAGAGAAATATCAGTTATAACTTAACAGTAGGCGTACAGCAGCTATGAGAATGATGATGGCCTACAATGAACCTGTGGTTATAAAACAGCCTTTGGATGATAAAAACCAAACAGCCTCTTGGGTGTTGCAGCTATGAGGCTTCTGAGCCAACCATGTTGGCTTTACTAACGCTAAGAGCCAAAGCTTGTCAAATTTGATTCAGTTCATGCAGATGAGGACATATTCAGATTCCCTGTGGTTGCTGAATGCCTGTCCTATATACAGTATCTTGTAGCTCATGTGTTGACATGTAGTGAAACTTATGCCTTCATAAAACAGCTCTCAACAGGACTGAGGTTTGTACATTATCAAAGGTAATCAGTATCATTCTTGCAATTCTGAAACCATTCTGAAATGTGAGACTATCAACAACATCAAAGGGAGGGAGTCGAAACAGAGCTGTCAGATAGGATGTGAAGGAGAAATCAATTATTTCTTTGCATATCAGAGGCTTTTACCTCCTCTCTCAAACTTTCAAACCTCCATTTGACAAATCTATTTAGCATTACATAAACATTATAGCTCTGTATACACACTGTAACCGGGATCTTGACAGGGAATAGGAAGGATAGGCACCAGGGACATAAGCCAGACAGACATGGAGGTTTGGCATGGAGTATTTTCTCTCAGCCTGTAAACATGGCTCTAGCTGGAGGACCCAGTTCTTTGACAGGTTGGCATTACAAATTCGCCCCAACCCTCTGGATTACCACAACTACTCATTTGTCTTTCATTGTCAGTACTCCGTCAAGCCAGTTTCCCCTATTTCCATAAAAGCCTTACAACATTTTATAATACAACCATCTTATATTCCTAACTTCAGTTTCTTTAATCTATTTTCTATCAATTTTCACTGGCTACAGGAAAGATGGCCACAAAGTTACACCACCAAAATTGGACTCTTTTTGACTCATACATTTCATACTTATTTGGAGACATGTCTGTTTGGAGACAAGTATGTCTTGCATATGATAAAAGACTAAGTGTTGATCTATTGGTATCGGCATTTAAAATGACTGATAAATGAAAATTTTAAAAAGTAAAGATGAGTTGGTAGAAACACCATTCAACCACGTTATTAGTGCTGACGTTGCAGAGTCTTTCCACCAGGGGGTACTCTGCAACTTGCCTGGTATGCTACTGTATAAACACAACAACCAGCTGAGCAGAGTCAAGCAGAGTGTAAACAAGTAAATAAATAACTACACATAACAAATGTTACAAAAATCTGTTTATGTTTTAAAGAATAAAATATCACCCAATGTGTTGGAATCACCCAATACTGATATCAGCCTTAAAACTCCGGCCTTACAGTACATATCCGTTTGGCTCTAGATATGATTTACAAGAACCCAAACCAAGGACATCTGTACATGCTTGGTAATGCAGGATATTACACACATTTGTCTCTTTAAAGGGAAAAGTAATGACATCTTTTTGTGGGGAAAAACAAATTGTAGTTTGAAGACTAAATTAGCACCTTCTACTCCAATCTGGGATCATACTTTAAATCATCAAACATAATTATAAAGTCAGTTAGACAGATTAAAAAAAAAAACAAACTGACAATTTTTCTGCACAGGAAAAAAAAATCTTGTGGAGGTGTCTGGCAAGCTGTCAGCTTGTGCAAGCTCCTGGCCTATGGCAGTGTAGAAATTTGCATTTGGCTCAAAGGAGGCCTGAAACATCAAAGTCTCTCTGATGCACCACTTGATGCTGCACAAAGGGACAGGTGAAGAAAAACAAGTCGACACAAGAAAGCACTGAACTACTGTACCCAGAATGCACTGGTTCCTAAAATAAAAGTGGGACACATCAGTGCACTGACAGAAACAACAAAATGCCACACCGTGCTTGAACAAAAGCAGAGACAAAGGTTATGTTTCTACATTACGACTCTCAGTAAGCACTGATATTTTTGTATTTTCGCTCTGTGGAATTTTGTATAACATCTGTAAACAGTTGAGACAGTTTGTGACAGTCAAAGCAAGAGGCTTGAATAAAAAATATGACAGGCTAAATAAGGAGCCGTGGGAATCGGTAGCATGTGATTCCGAAACTGTCAAAACTGTTTCTGATGGCAACTGACTGCTTTACTTATCTACTTTAAGAAATCACAGATTCTTTAGCATTTTAAAGTTTGGTGGATGGTGTAACATTTCAAATCCCTGCTGACAATATTTAAGCTTCCCCTTTCCTTTGACTTATTACTTCATTAAACTTAGATACTACCCATGCAAGCGCCCGTATTACCTAGCAGCAGCCCCTGAATGATTAGACCAGTAATATCAGATTTACCCAGCCAGACACATAGAAACCCAGGGTAATCACCAAACTTAGTTTACTTGACTATGACTAGATGATGCCTGCTGGGTGTTGGCTCCTGCTGTGTTTAAATTCCATCCTCAGACCGCTGTGCTTTGAACCACATATTCTCTGACGCTAATTTTGCAAACAGTGCCACATGTTCTAAAGTTCATCCACTAATTGACCTTGAAATAATTTGGCAAGCAGGGACACAATGACCAGTTGTTTGAGCACACAGAGTGCCACTACCCTAATGTAAAAAGAAGACAAATGAAGAGTTTGAACACCTGCACTCGCTGAATAAACTTTGAAAACATGTTGCAGGCTCTCTCACCATAAATCAGTCCAAGAAAACAGTTCCAAACTTTTCACAGTTCATTGTCAAGCCAGCACTGCATTCACACGTCTGCTTTCCTAATCCTTCACTGTTCCTCTTATTTATGTGACTTTGGCTTATGTGGTAAAGGGCTCGGTACAATTGAAATAAAGAACCATCCTGAACTACACCTGTACGATTTGTTGAATTATGACATTATGAACTTGTAAAGCTTTAGCTTCCTCCCTCTGTCCCTCTCTCTCTCTCTCAAAATCTAATACTCTCCACTGAGGCTCTCATGTAGAAAACCATTCAGCGTTTCATAGCAATCAAACCTGGCTCGTGAGCAATTACTTCTGATCGCAGCCCAGTTGGCCTGGACGCTGTTTATCCATGTCGCCATGGGAATTCATTGGGCAAAACTCAGACAGCTGAGGGAGGGGGTGGGGGTGGGGGTATTTCTTTTTCAAATGCAATGTGCCATTGCCAGTATGTATGCCTCCCCAAAGACGCTTTCACGATGGCTCAATGCTCGTTTTAATTAACACATAAGCCTGCTGATGTTAATTAAAAAAGAAGACAGACAATTCCCCATCAGGAGAAGATCACAAAAAAATGAGGGAGGAGGGGAGATGTGTAGGTGAACACGCAGTGAGATGCGATGACAGTGCTTGGCACTTATTCATCTGAGACTTCGTGTTGCCCTCTTTAAAACATATGCAACTGGTAAATCAAGCTGAGTGTATCAAACAGACTTTTTATAGAAAAACTTGTATAAGAGTATAATCTGCAGTTAGATGTTTAATAAGAAAGTTCCAGGAACAATTGTTACACCTAACGTATATAAAATGTAGTTTACCTGTGTTGTCATGCAGTCACTTCATGTGTTACTTACTTCATAGGCTTGAACAGTGCTTGTCCATAGTTCTGGAAAGTCATGATCAGCTTCAGCTGGGTGCCTCCAGATTTCATGGCTGGGAAGAAACAAAATGAGCTGTTAGATCAGCATCTAAACTAAACTGTCTGAGGCATAAGCATACATGCACAAACACATGGATGCACTCAAAAAAAACAAACAAAACAAAACATGCACAGCTGTTTTGTTATTTGCCATTATGGAAAAATGCAATTTTGCATGAATGCACAATAGAACTATCACATCTGCTGTCCAATTTCCTAGACACTGTAAATGCAATCGTGCCAGTCAGGAGCTGGGTGTGACCGAGAGCAAAAAGTGGCCTGAAGAGCATCTGCTAAAAACTGTGGCTAGTTCTGGATTTAACAGAGGGTTGAACATGAAACGGACAGTTTATCTGAATGAAAAAGAGCGACTGTGTGTTCTCGCAGCATGCATGCAACTTTAGAAGAACATGGTGCTCTGAGAATGACAAAATATCAGTGATTGAGGAAAAGAAGCCCCTTCAATTTTAGTACATAAAGTTCACACACGCTGCCTCAACAGGAGCACATTGCTGAGAATATTTTAGGCACATAGCACATTATTATGGTTTGACTCCAGGATGCCTGAACCTGTTGTTCCATTTCAATCGACCCCTCACTATCTGTCCATTTGTCCAATAAAGTGACCTAAATGTAGACTTCCATCCATGCGTGTTTAGCTACAAGCTACATAATATAAGAAACATGAGTCTCACCAGATGTTTGTCTGTAAGCCTTCATGAATTGAACACATTGTCAGCAAGTTTCTTGTGCACACTGGATTCACTGTAGCGACTTCCTTTTTCATTCAGACAAATTAACCTCCTGTACTCAGGGAGATGAGCCAGGGCATATGTCACTGACTATCAGTCATGTCCATGGTGTCTCCCAGAGGGTGATGGAGGCTCACTGTGAGATTCCCGCTTTCCTTCGACTCAAACAAAGAGACCGCCAGGCCTGCCCAACTGCTTTGTGTTTCTGTCACAATGGACAAGCTTTCGGGTATTTGCCCATTTATTACAGCGCATTAACTTGATCATATTACACAACACAGCACTTCTGCCTAACCCCAATATCCACATAAGCCCCCTGTAGTGGACCCACTTACTGACTGGATTGCTGGCTGAGTAGCTGACTGCACTCTACCCTGCTGCACCGAGCTGTCTTTTGTCTTCATTGACTCTCTTGTTGTTTCTCTCAGAGCTCTCACGGTGTGTTCCTCTGCTTCCCCCCCTCTCTTTTTAGTTGGATATGTCATCCTTGTATTCACATTCTCTCTGTTATGCTCTGTCTGTCTGAATTCATCATACTCAATGCTGGCAAGCCTCTCCATTTACCGTGACTCCTTTTCAAAAGCTTTTGGATTTTTACATACACTGTTGCACACAACAGTACAACCTACATAACCTCAGGTCAGTGCCTTTTCTTTATGACAGAGGATGAATGCTGAGTGAATGCAAAGCTAAAAAAAAACACACTGAGAGCATTTGGCCTTCACATATGACAGATTTGCTGAAGCCAGGTCAAGTGAATAGCACCCTAGAGTAATCCTCAAACTTGGTGCAGCTATACAACGGATCTAAAACCTTTAAGAGATTGCAAATGACTGAACTATGATTTAATGCCATGACCTTGAACACATAAGCCACAATTCTTGAATTCATTGCTCAGCGCAGGCCTTCATAAAAATCCACCTTCTAATCGAGAACTAGAAAAAGGTAATCCGCAGTGAAAAATCCCGCTAAAGCTTGGCTGATTGTTTCACTGGATTGTCTCTGCACTGACGTGCAATCACACATGACTTGAACAGCAACAAACCCACAACAAAACATTCTTAAGATTCTCCCATCTGTCTCAGCTGTGCCCGAGACTATGCATTTGTGTTGATCTAACCATCTATCTTGCTCTGTTTCTCCAGGAGACCACAAGTGAATCGATGTCGCTGTCTTATTCTCTACACCTTCCTGCTCGCAGGTCTTTCAGATATGCTCCAGGCCTCGCCCAACGCTCTGAGATTCCCCCTCTCATGCGGCAATGATAAATCCATCTTGCTCTCACCTGTATCACCTCATGTTACTGTGCGTATGATTTATGAGTGCAGCTGAAGACTGAACAAAAGGCCACAGCCTGCCCCAACAGAGAGACAGACACAAAGGAGGGAAGAAAGGGGGGGTGGGAGGCACTAGTGAGGAGAAAATGCTGATGAAGAAAACTTTCTAATGCTGTGTTTGATTTGTCATTTTGTTGAGACAGCTAAGTGTTTGTGCTAATTATGGGGCACAAATGTTTGAATGCATGCCTCCAGGGCGTGCACACTAACACAAACACACACACACACACGGACATATAAACACACATAAAGCCACACAGACATAGAGCACTGCTTCACTGCAGACAAACAGTATCTTTGTAGGTATGTCTGGCCCTGAGCAATTATATTGTCTTTTGTTGAAAAACAGAAAAGAAGGGTTAAAGGCAGAGAGAGTGCTAAAGTGAAGGAGATGTGTAGAACGAGAAATTGTGAGTGTTCTTTGAGAGAACGAGGATGTAATAATATTGAGACACCAGACAAATACAACAAGTATTGGAGGCTAAATAGGCATAAGTAACTAACATTCCCCACAAGAACAACAACAGAAACATCAGAAACACCTCGACAAAAATTTTCATCCTAAAAGGGAACAAATGGTCTCAGTTTGGGATTGTGGTCATGATTATTACTCACATTTACTCAAAGGAAGTTTGGCCACAGTGGTAACAATGTAATGCACATCTGCTTTATAACATCTGATCTCATTACATAGAGAAAACAACAACTTTTTAGCAGCTCTTACTGTTGCGCTCATTTATAATCTGCTTTAAAAGAAAAGCATTTCCAAAAGAGAGTAATGGGTGTTTAGAAATGAAAACAATGTTGTGACATTCAGAGTTGATGGGGAGGAAGTTCTCCTCAAATGTTTCTTCCAGTTTTTCCCAGTTATTAAGCTTGTCTGATTTAAGATGAAAAAAACAAACAAACCTACAACTTTTTTTATTTATTATTTTTTCTCAGATAAAAAATTCCTGGTGCTCCACTTTAATTTTTAGTGACACAATGCAGATCTCAGTGAAATACTGTGACTGAATGGAACAAAAAACAAAAGGGAATTTGAATACAGCACTATCCTTCCAGTGTAAGAGTGTCAAATGAATTTCTATCAAAAATCCTGATTATATAATTGTTACACTTCAAGTAATTTAGGAGTCATTACAAAAACAAGCAGGTCCAGAGGCACTCCACTTTTTACAGTTTTCAAATTTTATGCCAAAGTTTATTTTTTTTGTTCATGCCAAGGTGAAAAAGCCTTCCCAAGTTGCATTTTTCACACATTAGTATAATAGAACCTTGAGTATAATTAGGGAAAATATCTTTAAGTTAGTTGGGACATTGCTGCTGTAGGCCAAAATGACAGGACAGAATCTAACAGTTAGAAATTGATCAACACAGACCAGATAAAAGAGTTTAACTGCAGACCCCATCAAATCCTCAACTTCACACACCCACACATACACCTTTTCAGCATAGCTGACTGACTCACCTACGCTGGTGATCCTTTGTGTGACCAGGTCCTTCAGCAGGGCATCCAGCACAGGGCTGTGTCGGGAGTAGAGCTCATAGCGGTTGATCCCGATGTGGAATCGCAGCCAGTTGGGGTAGGATTCTGCTGTCACCTCTTCAGTTGGAGAGAACTCCTCTTCGTCTTCGTTTCCGTCCTCATTGTGCCTGACAAGCAAGTGAGGAGAAGGGTGGGAAGGTATAAGTGATGGTGAAGGAGTAGACAAAGAACAATACAAGCTTATAACAGATGGTTTTGAAAAAACAAACTACAAAAAGCAAAATGCTGCCTGGCTGGCTATGGATAATCCAAGACAATGAAAAGAAAACAAAATCCAGCAGGATGGAAAGCAGAGGCCAAGTTGGGTGCTCAAACAAAGAAAATAGACAGAGAGAGAGGTGAAGACTGATAAGGAAATAAAATAGATTTGTTGTTCTGAATGGACATGATAGAATAGAACAGGAGTGATTTTAAACCTTATATAAAAGTAAAAGACCTGGGTGACAAAATGACTTCTTAATAGAGCAAACATGTTGAAGTCAGAGCACTCTAGCTGTTCATGGACTCGTTTAAATCACACAAGTTTAATTTAAATCTCGTCGGCTTACCATCCCTGGTTCCCTGTTGCTCTGGGATAAAACCTGATGTCGTTGTTGACGTTAAACAAAGTGTCATCGTCCGTGAGAGGCGGAAGCTCAACCTTGTATAAAGGATGCTCAAACAGGCGAGAAAGTCGTGAGACAGCACGGGAAGGGACGATCCGACCCCCGCTTGCGTCTCCCATCAGCGGCTTGTGGTCATCTGCCTTCCCCGCCGACGTTTTCATCCGCCGGAAAGAGTCCGCCCTGTCCCCGGCGGTGGTGATCTTTTCCAGGGAATGCGATGTGAGGTTGGAGCTCGGCTCGTTGCTGAAATCCTGCAGGATTCGCAGCGTGTGCTTATTAGGCCAGCCGGCTTCAGCCGCCGTCCTGGCTCGCTGCTTCCCCCAGCCTTGCGACTCCCCGCCCGTGTGGTGTGCGCACTGGCAGCCGCCGTCCCCGCTCTCCGCTCCCGTCGCCCGCTTCTCTAGTTTTGGTAACAAGTCTATCATGATGTGCATGGTGCACGCAACCAAAAACACCATAAGTATCAAGACTCTGAATTTGCGAAACAAGATCATGTTTAGCCTCTATAAATATATATTTTATAGCAAGCTTTAAGCGCACCTTAGCTACAGCACCGACATTGGTGTCTAACACTGTTTTCTGAGGACGAGACAACGATGTTACTTTGGGAATTCTCTATGATCGCTCCACACATAATGAGCGTCAGCCTATGTTTAAAAAGCCCATTTTATATGCGGTGTTTAATATTTAAAACAGTCCCAACGATTCATTCCCAGACAGGTGGAAAGACCAAGACATTGTAAAAACCCGGACACTTTGCTGGCTCAGGAAGTGCTCTTCATTCATTGCCTTGTTGAGCAGGATAGCCTATAGTGTCAGGAGGACGAGTGACTAAATAAATCTCACTGAAGATGTATCTTAGGCTAAGAGAAGGGAGTGGGGTCCTGCTAAAAGCATCAATAGTCTTCTTCAAATCTGCTTCCCTGTGTCGCTGCCAGCACGGAGTGAGATGTCAACCGCGTCATAACTGTCTTCAGAGGAAAGTAACAGGATGACACTGATATAACGTAGTCCACAAAAGCACAGGTTTCCTAACATTTACGATCAATTTATAAACAGAAAGAGGAATAATAATAAAAATAATAATAAAAAACAAAAACAAAAACCAAATAACAGGTGATCCGCTGCAAGATGCCTGGATGCTGCCCCGCTTCTTCACAAAGCTGCTGCTGTCTGCAAACGTCGCTGAAGTCAAATCAGAGACTGGCTTGGCAGGCTGGCCGGCAGGTGTGTGGGATCCTGGTTGTGATTTCTCCTCTCAGCACTGCCTTGTCTTCCTTCCAAGTGTCCATCCAGAGTGGGTGTGTTAAATATTATGATCGAAGCCCTCTGAGCCCAACCTCGGTGGCGTCATGAGGAAGAGATTGGCTGCGTCTGCACATACAAGTAGCACTAGTGACATGAAAGGCGAGCTTCGGGGATAAAACGCTGTATGCTGAAACCCTGTAAGGCTGCAAGTCCCCCGCACACAGCCAGAGGGCGTTGGAACTACCTGAAACATTGTGCATCCTATATCACACGGAGGGCAATGGGTATGTATTCCTATTGCATGTGCTTGATGTGTTCTTTTAGATCATTATCAAAATAAGGAATTGGGTAAATTAAACTGGGACATTCAATAGAGGGATGAAGGAACGAGTGTTTTAGACAAAAATTATTCGAACTGAAGAAATACAAGAAATTAATTTTAATTGTGAATTAGCCATGACTATTATTGTTGTTATTGTTGAGGTGGTAGCGGGTGAGTCCTTTCTATTTCTTATAAAATTTATAGAAACATGGAAAATTGTCATTTAGGTCAGAAGTCTTTCAGTGGCATTTTTACAGTCAAGAAAAGGTGCTTGTAAATTCCTGCTTTGACATCCAAGAGTCACAGGGTAATATGGAGCTGGAGCGGTGTCCATGGAAACCTTAATTGAAGCGTGAGCATAAAGTCGTCATTTACTGTAACTCTGTTTTTGGTTACTGGCATCAGAGGAAAAAAATAAATCCAACCCAAAATGCTTCCTCGAAATTCTGTTTCAGAAGGAAATGTACTTCCCACATAATAAAAGTCACATAATGCCCAAATGTGTTGGCATATTTATCAAGCTATCATCTTGTTTATTTCTTTTTAAATGCGCTTGGACATTTGGAGTCTTTGACAGCATGTTGCTTTTGAAGCAAACAGCAAGTAGCAAGTAATAGCTTGTTTGTCAGGATTTGTACATTCTACTATATATAAATAAAATCACAAGAAAGAAATTATCGCTGCACAGAGCTGCAGACGTTTTAGGCTTTCAAATTACATGGATTGTTTGTTTGATTATCAGAAATCTATTTTAATTCATATTTAGGTACATGTAAGCCACACGAATCATGAATCAAAAGGAAATTAACTAGATTTCCACTTGGTTCATCACAGGTTCTGTACAGATCAGTGGAAGATCCCTGCTGGGTCACTCACAGATCCTCCCTTGATGACCAAATGTCTTTCTGACTTATAATGGGGTAATTTTGAGTTGTGATGTTAAAGGATTAACCAAGCCTGTTCTTATTCCATTATGTTCCCTTGAATTCTATTTTAGAGAGCAGCAATTTTCATCCCCTGATTAATTTGTTATGTTCAAAAAGGTTTTGGTTATTTATTGTCCAGAAGTAAAAACTCACAGCTGTGGAAATTGTGCAGTGAAAACACACCAGCTGGTCTTCTCAGAGGTGATTTTTTTTTCTATTTAGTGAAACATATTTTATTTATAATTTCACAGGGACAAAAGATTTACAGCAATTTCTGCAGCTGGCACTTATATCTGGGACTAGACTTTCTCCCCAACTCCGAAGGTGCTATTGAGTTCAAATTGTAAAATCTATACTTTTTGACTGACAGAAAAAAGGGAAATATGTTCTGTTTAACCTTGTTATATGATTTTAAAAAAGAAAAAAGTAAAGTCCTTAGCAGTAAAAAATACACAAAGTAATAAATTGAACAAATTAAACATATTTCTTTGGCTTGTGCTTGAATGGTGTAGAAGGCTCACCAAGTGGGCTCAATTGGAAGAGCTTCATTTGGCGTGTGCCCCTCTTCCCAGAGGCACTGAGCTGGAGTTCATGCCACTGCCAGATTTGTGCATCTAAATAAAACAAGATCTTAAAGCTAACAAGCAAACAAATTGTTCCCCCAAAGCAGGCCTGCTGTCCCAGTTCATCTCATGCTCCAAACAAAACAAATTGGCACGTGCACACATGATAAGAATCCACTGAAATTAGGAAGATATTCAAATTGCAAGCAGTTTTAAAACCTAACATTATGTGGAATTATAATATCAAGAAACTAATTAAAAAGATAAAATTTCCACCTTTTTTTTTGAAGAAACAGTAATTGATGCACACTGATGTGTCATACACTAATTGGCCAAAACATTATGACCACTGGCAGATGAAGTAAATAACACTAATTATCTCTTCATTGTTCCACCTCTTATTGGGTGGGATATAATAGGGAGCAAGTGAACATTTTTGTCATTAGAAGCAGGAAAAATGGGGAAGCATATAGATATGTATGATTTAGGGGCTAAGATGTGATGGCTAGACAACTCAGTCAGAGCATCTCTAAAACTGCAGATCTTGTGGGATGTTCCCCAATCTGCAGTGGTCAGCATCTATCAAAAGCGGTCCAAGGAAGGGACAGTGGTGAACCATGGATGGGTTCACGGGCGGGCCAAGGCTAGATGCATGTGGGTAGCGAAGGCTGACTCTTGTGGTCCAATCCAAAAGACTTTAGCTCAAATTGCCAAATAAAGTTATTACTGGTTGTTGTTTTTTTTTTTTGCTCTTTTGGAAGCAAAAGGGGAACCAGCACAACATTAGGCAGGTGATCATAATGTTATGTCTGATTGGTTCAGTATCTTAGTGTAGTAAAGGAAATCCCTTTGGCTGTGTGTTTATTTGCTTTTGTGGCTGCAAAGTCCTTGTATATGATCAGAATTTGAAAACTTTGCACACAGGCACATCTTTGGTCCTTAAAGGTTCACATGTGCAGTGTATCAGCTATTTGAGACATTATCATCTTGCTTAGCAACCACCTAACAATGGGCGTTTATGTATATCTAGCTCTTAATGAAAGCACAGTATAATTTTTTACATGAACATCTAATTTCTATCCACAAAAGTTCAGTTATTCATGATATATCATGATGCCATCACGTTACCTGGCAACCATGAAGCAACAAGCTAATATTCTTTTCTTTTTTTTTTTGCTTTTACGCACCTACAGCACCTACGAAAACATCTTATCATTTTACTTTCACAACAATAGTGTCTCATTTATATCCACAAAAGCCCAGTAATATGTGATACAGCTTATTATGACGTAAGTAGCAGTGAGCTACGAGCGCCCCTTGTTTTTTTGTTTTTTGCACCTAGAACATTTTATAAAAGCATTGCACCATTTTATTGTCATGGCCAACAGCAAACAATAGTCTGTGTACTGCTATATAAAACAATCCAGTTTCACAAGCACATCCAGGCTTTTGTGACATTCGTTTTCTCAAATAACTCCCAGTGATATAGTATTTATTAAAAATACTTATTACAACAATAATATCATGAGATATGAGAAGGAAAGGCAAGAGGGCTGAATGACCTATAATAAGAATTAGCAGCAATTTATTCAGGTTTTCACATGGCCTATTGTGTTAGGTTATAATAGTTACATTTTTTAAGGTTCTAATACTTCATTCTTAAAGCTACTAATACTGCAGCAGTTTTTTCAGGTTACACATACGATATTTCTTGGTCCTGAGGCATCATTCCCAGTGCAGTTTCTCTGCATCTAATTTGTTTCTGGAAATAATGGTAACCTTTGACCCAAAGAAGGAAAAGTGACTGAAGATGGAGAAGTTCAGTTACATGGGGATCCGCAGTCGTGCTGCATTTCATAGTGGAAGCTGGTCTTATAACATTTTGATTAGCTCTGGGAATTGAAGAATGAATCGCCTTATGTTTAAAATGAAGGAAGGGAAGGAGAGGGAGGGAACAGATGGAAAAAAATATTCAATGCATAGTCTAGTCTAGTGGGGTCCATTGGAATCCACTGATGAATATTTTTTTTCTCTGTCTGTGTGTCTGAATATTTGACCGTAGGGCTCGGCTGTTCCTCGGGTTGGAAGTAGACTTTCCAAAGTTCAACTTGAGCTTCCAGACTACACTAACATCAAAATAATCTGGTTATTTAACAACATAGGTTTTATAACTTTAGTACTGGATGAAGGCAAAACACATTTCTGATCCATTTATATAAATATACATCTTTTTTTTTTATTACTGCTATCCATAGAAGCACAGGTAGGTTCAGTCACATATAAACCTGGTAGGCAGTTATATGAGATTTGTTGCACAGCTAATATCAAGATGAGGGAGAAATGGCTGTGCAAATGTCACAAGTATAGATTATAATTAGAGAATAATGTGACCAAGTAAAAGCAATAAAAGCGCTGTTTTGACAAATGGCGTGTCAACACTGCTGCCAGGATAAAAGAAAGGAAGGCGTGGCTGAGGGAATCTGAACGCTACTGACAGAAATGGAAAGAGAGAAAATTATTGTGAGAGTGGGTGCTGAGTAATGGCACATTTATTCACATGACTGAAAACAGGTTGAAAATGGTCTTCTTTGGGGACATATGAGGAAAGTTGTGTGAAAAGGGCCCATTAATGAGGCTAGGCGTCTGTACTTCAGGCTAAAAGAATTCCACCTACTAACTCAATAAAACTTGTTTTTGGTCAGACCCATTTTTATTAAAATTCTTTTGCTCTAACTTAGCAGTAATATATTGTTGTAGGGTGTTTGTGTGTCTGTGTCTAAGTACGTGACCTTAAACTGAACCCTTTTACATGCTTTCAATTTCAGTTACTGCACAATAATGTCAAATGGAATACAATGAATGCATTCATGTTATGGTCGTTTTAATGTGCAGGATTTCTATATAAAACATTACTCTACCACATGGGTCACATTACATCTTTCATTTGGACCCTTTGCTAATCACAGCACGCTGCAGAATTAGAATAATGAGACCACTGGTGCCATGAGCAGCTCTACAGTGGTCCCGCTGTGTTGATCTCTTTATCTCAAAGACTCACAGGGTAAAACTGAGCTCAGGGATTTTCAATTTGAAAAACACAAGGGTGTGACCTTGAAAATGAGTCATAGAAAGGATATATGTTTTGTGTGAACTGGTAGGTGTACATGGATAGATTTCCTAAAATTGACTTGACAAGGTAACAACAGCCACTGGTCCATCTGCCAGCAGAGTGATTGACCAGTGAACTCTCAACTGTCCATCGTTCATCAAAAAGTATTGTAGTTACTTAAAGTCTCACTTCATTGCCAGCTGACAGGTCTCCATTTTTTCCACTTATACTTATTAATATCAAAC